TGCCCCACGTAGCGCCGCTCGTAGCGCCCCCTGCCACTCCACTGCGTATATCCAATAGCTTTAATGTTTGATGACATTTTAAATTCAGTATCCGCTGACAAAGTTATATGCAGTTTAAAAAATATTTTAGTTGCATGCAAATTAATTACATTTACTGATGCTTTTATGGTAACTGGTAATTGGAAAAGAGTTTATTAAAATGAAGAATATATATCTTTTAACCCATTTTATTTATATCGTATTAAAAAGGGCGGTAGCTGTTGAGCTGATTAAACTTTCCCGCGTGGATTTATAAAACGATCTTTGTTTTTTTTTTAAATAATAAACACGACTCTAGAATATTTATTAACTGTAATACTAATTAGGTTAACATTAGTTGTGTGGTTTTTACTCTTTCGATTATGTCAGTAGTTTAATTAAAAAATATGTCCTTATGGTCTCTTTCTCTCGAGGTTTATAAAGTTTATTTCAAACATACATACGCTCTTTGGGTTATCTTGAAAAAAAATAATTACTGCGAATTTGGCCGTAAAATTCAAATTTAAACTCCTGTTTGCTGATTAAATAAATATACCAGTAATGTGGTGATTTTGACTCGTGAATGGTTCGAGTATTTTAATACTGCATGATGTTTACGTAAAGATAAGCGATCACAAACAGTCGTTATTACACGTGTGCAGTTTACTCAACGTGCGGCGTAAATCTGTTCTCGATGATATAAACACGTGAGACGACATGTTACATTGAGTTGCCACCGCACATGATATTCTTATCTCTTTCATTTGTTTAGCAAAAAAAGAGATAGCACTATCTGTGGTTTTATGCGTTGAAATTTTTAGTTACTACATTTACAAGTATATTCCAGCCATCAAAAGGGTAGTTAGCCTATAGTTCGGCACCGAATGTGGTGATCATTACGTCTGTACTAAAGAGTGAATCTTAAAATAGTTTTTGTATGAAGAAAATTATAAAACACGAAGATTAAAAGATAATTCTTCAAGCCTTTTGTCTGTAATTGTAAAGTATCTTTCTTGCTTTAGCTCTATTTCAAATACGCAGTCTTTTTCTTGTAATTAAAATCTTTCTTCGTCTTTGAGATAACTAGTGATGTAAAGTACAAGGTATTGTTTGATATTTCCTATTTGTTTTTTCTGTTGTTTTGATTCTCTGACCGTTTACTTCGGATCCCATTTATTTAGATATAAATGCAAAATGTAAATATTACAAAATAATTAGTGGATAGCTTATTGTTATGGATAAACGTAAACATAAACATTTTCTATTGCAAAAGGAAATCTTACGAACTACTGAGGCATTAAAAGTTTTTGGTGACAAGGAGTTTGCATTCCGTTAAAGAAGTCGAATTTTACTTCTTAATATAATTGGGAAAGTTTACATGGATGGTTGTTTGTTAACACGTATATCCAAGATGGCTCAAAGGATCACGCTGAAAGGTGTTAAGATCATAGGTGTAGAACATATCTAGAAGAACGTATATACTTCGATAAAGTCATGTGCGACAGTACTCGTAGTTTCATAAAAAAGTATAGCTGTAAAAGGTAAAGCTTATCCGATTTGTGAGCGCTTACAATCATAATATACGCGATGTAATCCTGGCTTCCCGCCAATTTTGCATAAGAGCCGTTTCGCTGCACATAAGTTAAATCAACTGTGACCGGCAGTTCTAGCGACGGGGCATAAAACAATTTGTATAAAAATTAAACTTTGTCCTGCGACCGCGAGCGCGCGGCCGACTGCTGCGGATCGCATCAACATTTGCACTTTGTTTTATTGAACTTTATTAAAGTTTATATATAAATTAATATTAATGAGTTAATAAAACGTTGCTTTTAATTTTTTTTTTATTATGGTATTGTTTAACTTGTTACCGACTGCGCGGCAGCCAAAAATACAAAACACTTTTTATCAAACTAACACATCTTTATTCAAAACTTATTTACACAAATATATACAAAAAACTCAAAACTATCTGGATCACATCTTGACTTCTTATTCTTCTTTTTCTATAACTATATTTTCTTTAACCAACAATAAATGCCTTGGTGGCCAGTATGCAACCTCTTTGGCTATATACATACTGCTTGTCAGCCAAAGAAGTTGTATTTTGCACTCAACAGGTATCAAGTCTCAAGTTATTGTACTTTTCTACGATTAATATCCTTTATTTTAAGTTATATCGCAACAAAATATAATCTATTTTTGATTGGT